GGATGTATAATCTATCCAAGGTTGTTTGTCAGAGCCTTTGCTCGATGATGTTAACCGATATTGGATCTACTAATGATGTAAGACCTATCCGAGGTTGTATGCCGGAGACTTTGCTCGACGATGTTAACCTGTGTGGAAGAGGTCGGGAGAATCCACTAAGGATGTGAGACCTTTTCGAGGTTGTATGTCGGAGTCTTTGCTCGACGACGTTAACCTGTGTGGAAGAGGTCGGGAGAATCCACTAAGGATGTAGGACCTTTCCGAGGTTGTATGTCGGAGCCTTTGCTCGACGACGTTAACCTGTGTGGAAGAGGTCGGGAGAATCCACTAAGGATGTGAGACCTTTCCGAGGTTGTATGCCGGAGCCTTTGCTCGACGACGTTAACCTGTGTGGAAGAGGCCGGGAGAATCCACCAAGGATGTAGGACCTTTCCGAGGTTGTATGTCGGAGCCTTTGCTCGACGACGTTAACCTGTGTGGAAGAGGCCGGGAGAATCCACCAAGGATGTAGGACCTTTCCGAGGTTGTATGTCGGAGCCTTTGCTCGATGACGTTAACCTGTGTGGAAGAGGCCGGGAGAATCCACCAAGGATGTGAGACCTATCCGAGGTTGTATGTCGGAGCCTTTGCTCGACGACGTTAACCTGTGTGGAAGAGGTCGAGAGAATCCACCAAGGATGTGAGACATATCCATGGTTGTATGTCGGAGCCTTTGCTCGACGACGTTAACCTGTGTGGAAGAGGTCGAGAGAATCCACCAAGGATGTGAGACCTTTCCGAGGTTGTATGTCAGAGCCTTTGCTCGACGACGTTAACCTGTATGGAAGAGGTCGAGAGAATCCACCAAGGATTTGATACCAATCCGAGGTTGTATGTCGGAGCTTTTTCTCAACGACGTTAACCTGTGTGGAAGAGGTTGAGAGAATCCACCAAGGATGTGAGACCTATCCGAGGTTGTACGTCGGAGACTTTATTCGATGACGTTAACCTGTGTGGAAGAGGTCGAGAGAATCCACCAAGAAAGTGAGACCTATCCGAGGTTGTACGTCAGAGACTTTATTCGACGATGTTAACCTGTGTGGAAGAGGTCGAGAGAATCCACCAAGGATGTGAGACCTTTCCGAGTTTGTATGTCGGAGCTTTTTCTCAATGATGTTAACCTGTGTGGAAGAGATCAAATCGAATCCCCCTGGGATTGATTTTGCTTTGATTGGGAGGGGGCGAACGCCGCGTATATCCCGAATCAAAGGTGAAGAATGGTCTATCTTTAGACTGTTACTGCCTTTTTGAGGTTGAGATTAAGACTTTGTCCAAGGAGTAGAAGCCCAGCAGGGGACTGTATGAAGCTTATTATTGATCAGAAGTATCCTTGCATTTGTTGAGATTTTTCTAACATATCACCTTGATATAGAAAGCATCGAAGAATCTTTTTGACTAGAATTGGGGTCAAAGTTGCCCCCCAGTCCGCATCTGATGCGACAATGACTGATGTCAGGAAGTTGATAAGTGCAATCTTTTGAAATTAGAGCAAAAGTTGCCCCCCAGTCGGGAACCACGTTCCCACAGACGGCGCCAAACTGTTGCGTCCAGGAGTATTTGCGGCGGTAAAGAAATATGAGATTTAACGTCTTAGCATTGTACAAAAATCCGGCATGCAATCAGATAAAGAGAGACGGTCTAACATTTATGAGACACCAAGATTTTTACGTGAAAAACCCCTGAAAAGGGGGGAAAAATCACGGGGCCTACCCCAGTTTGAATGAATCCACTAGTATTGTATTTGATTACAAATGAGGTCCTTCCTTGGTGGAAGGTCTTAGCTTGATGTACATCTTATGGAGTACATTTACATGATGTGAATACAAAGAATCACTATTAACATGTTCGTTTGGTCAGGAGGACCGTAGTCGGTGGGCGACGGAGGCCAGAAGACTTGTAGTCAGTGGGCAACGTAAGTCAGGAGGACCGTAGTCGGCTGGCGACGGAGGTCGGAAGGACTGTAGTCTGACGACGAAAATCAGAAGGACAGCGTTAGGTGGAAATCCAACAATGGAAATAAATGCATCTTTGCATAGACGTCCAGCAAAGTCCGATAACCGGTATAAGTCCGGCGTCGGGTAGAAACTTGGCGAAGAGTGAAGGTCCGACGTCGGGTAGAAGTACAACGTCTGTTGGTGGCAGAGGAGAGCTCCGGCTTCACTTGGGCGGAGTTTCGGCGTCAGGAGGGGACTCTGTTGTAAATTGGGAAGAATTTCAGCATCACGTGGAAGTTGGGCAGAATTCCTGCGTTCTCCCGAATATCACGCAGAATCCCAGCGTGTTCGGGCGGCAGGACGAACTCCGGCGATGGTCAAGGAGGAGCTTCTTCCTTCTCCTCCTTCTCTTCTTCTTCTCTCTCTTCACTTGAGTTCCCTTTCTATAGAATGAGGGCTCTATTTATAGTTTTTCTGTAGTGGCATGACTTGTAAATAGGTGTGAGATCACGGGCGAATAAGGAGTGGTTTGAATGGACGGCCGATATTGAACCCTTCAATCATGCACTATTCGTTAGACATTTGGAGCCCTTAATGATGTCGTAATTTGGCGATCTTGGGCTCGTTAAATTCGTCTCGTCGAGCAGTTCAATTCGAGTATAAGCTCGTCAAAATCGGAGACCGTTTGGTAACTAAAATTGCAGTTTTAACCTTTCGACAGCGCTTCGGGTCCTTTATTCGGACTCATTTGGACTCGGATTGAGTTGAATTTGGTGTCGTTGGGTTCGTATTTCCGAGATGCTCAGTTTGACTATAAGCTCGCTAAAATCGAAGTTTGGGTGCTCCCAAAACTAATTTTTGAAGTTTCCAACTAGCTTTTGCCTCGAGATTCGTGCCCGATCAAGATAATTTTTAGAGTACTTACCAAGTGTAATATATAGAAAAATATTATTACATCATCTCAAAAAATAAATAAATATTTTAAAATCTATCTTAATCAATACAAAATTTTACTTACACCTCTAAGTCAAGTTAATAATTATATTTTTTTAAGGTATACTTGGAACAACTGCATCATTTTATAAAGTTAATTATGAAATTGTTATGGGGAAAATAACTTAGTTACTTTGATTGTAAAATAATAACTTTCCACAACATAAACTTCTACAACAACAACAACAATAACATCATCAAGCCTTTGTCCCACTACGTGGGATCGACTGTATGAATCATTTTTCTTCATTGTCCTGTAAAAGTCAAATTCATGTTTAAATCTAATAAGAAAAGATTATTTCTAATAAATTAACGAGAAAATTGTCTCAAACAAACCTTAAACCCTTAATTAATGTTATAATAGTCATAATGTTGGCTGTCAAATGCCTTAGACCTGTCAATATTGGACCCGACCCGAAAACCCGACCCGAACCCGACCCGAAAATTTCGGGTTCGGGTCAACCCGAACCCGAACCGGGTCGGGTTCGGGTTAGAGATTTCGACCCGTTTGTAAAACCGAGTCGGGTTCGGGTTGACATTAATTTTTGAAGTTTCCAACTAGCTTTTGCCTCAAGATTCGTGCCCGATCAAGATAATTTTTAGAGTACTTACCAAGTGTAATATATAGAAAAATATTATTACATCATCTGAAAAAATAAATAAATATTTTAAAATCTATCTTAATCAATACAAAATTTTACTTACACCTCTAAGTCAAGTCAATAATTATATTTATTTAAGGTAGTTATGAAATTGTTGTGAAGAAAATAACTTAGTTACTTTAGTTGTAAAATAATAACTTTCCACAACATAAACTTCTACAACAACAACAACAATAACATCATCAAGCCTTTGCCCCACTACGAGGGATCGGCTGCATGAATCATTTTTCTTCATTGTCCTGTAAAAGTCAAATTCACGTTTAAATCTAATAAGAAAAGATTATTTCTAATAAATTAACGAGAAAATTCTCTCAAACAAACCGTAATCCCTTAATTAATGTTATAATAGTTATAATGTTGGCTGTCAAATGCCTTATGATGAAAAACAAAAAAGGAAAAAAAAAAAAGTTGGCTGTCATAACCTTCATTGACGTTGCGTTAGAATTGCCACGAAACAGTCTTCAAGACTTTCATTGGATCATTAATTATTCTTACTAATTTTCTAACTTATTAAGTAATTAAAACAACTAAGTCCTTCTCATAGTTAAGCTTTCCATCTTCTCTAAATTGTCTTTATTTTTGCTAGCTTATATTTTACATCATCAAACTTTTCTAAAGGAAATAACTTTTCACGAGCACTTAAAAGCATAATAAATGCTTGAACCTACCAACACAGTACAGAATACTTCAATTCCTTAACATTTCTGAATTAAAAAATATATATATATACTCTGCCAAATTTAATCTAGTATATATTTTTTATTTATTTGAATTTTTAACTTTCATATGACAACATTATTGGTATACCCCCTTTTATTACAAGCATGTCACTCAAAATTATAAAATTTATATATTTAACATCAAATCTTTAATATTTGCATACTAAAAACTTTAAATTACCTCAAAAATAATGTTCTTATCATCCTTTCCATTATAATTTCATCTAGTAGATGACGGTGTGAGATGCAATAGTGATGGGTTAAAAAATGATGACCCGTACATACTCACAACCTCGCTCGCATGCACTCGCTACCTCGCCCTCAAGCTTGCCTGCACTCACTCGCTCCCTCATCGGCAATCTTGCCCCCTTTGCCTGCATGGGCTATTGCCCTCACCCTCTTGCACTTAGATGCATTGCGGGTTAGCAAGTCGGGTCAAGTCAACCCCGGTTAGGTCACGTTGGATTTGAATTTTGATTTATGACCCATTTGTTTAATCGGGTCATCTAAATTAAAGGCTGGTTAGTTTTAGATTAGACCCAAACTCGAACCAAAAATTCATTTTAACACCCCTGATGCAATGATAGCTCCAGAATCCCCATTCCTTGTGTCTTTCCCCTTATATCCCATACATCACATTTTAGCTCTGGTCCTTTCCACTAGTATTCTCTTCGTCCTCAACTCTATAAATGGTATCACCAAAACATACAAGAGAAAAGAATATTCATAAACAAATGATATGAACGTTAGTTAAGGATCCAACATTTCCCATGCACTAAAACTTCAATAATAGTTAAATAAATTGTTAGGATTTTCGGCTATCGCTCCTCTGAGTTGAATTTGTTCCAAGCTTCCTGCAAATTAAGTAGGCCAATGTAAAGTGACAGCCAAGGAATCTATACATATAAATGAACTGCAAGAATAAGATTTTGAAAGCTATTTAAATGTTCTTCAAGGTTATTATCTGTAAGTGGAGAGTGCAAGAAAATCAAAATAACATTTTAAGTCATAAAAATACGCATGAAGGATGCCAACACTGAGAATTCGGACTTAAACAAACAAAAACTTCAAAATAGGCAACTTGGATGCTAAAAATTAAATATGTCCATAAGATTCCTGTAATCCCTAAGAGATCCAGATAGCTTTTTAGTCAACAAATAACATGACTTACAAGAAACTGAATGGAAAAAAAAGCAGCAAATTTTACTACAATATATGGCTTGGTTTTGGAAACTTAAAAGGGGAGCAAGTAGGAATTAAAATAACTGTGCCAAGTACTTTTTTTTTAAATTAAAAGCATGAAATTTATATTTCATATTAAAACAAAAGTTACAAAACAGGAGAACAACAGCTGAATTGAACTGGTAAAAAGTAAATGAAAAAAATAGCAAGTGGCCGATGAGAAAAAAATTAGTAAGAAATATAATATATCCAATTCCAAATATCCAACAACCATATGAAACTTTGATTGACACCCTACAAAAGTGATGGAAGTGTTTGAGAGCATATGATCTATTAAATGCTTGAAGCATTTTGGAGTTCTTAATCAAACTCATCTTCATTATAGAGATTGCATAAACCTAGATTTGGTAACTCCATGCGTATGCTTTTATAACTTCATATGCTTTTTTCATTATCAAATGGTAGTGATATATGAGATTTAACACAAGTTTGAGATCATCATCATTTAATTTACTTGTGTTCTCCCAAAAATATTGTTTATGTTCTTTATTAGTTTGGGCTTTTGTAGCAATTAGTTGTTCCACGAGGACATATATAACAAATTACAATGCCTTCAATTCAACCACTAAACCACATTTTTGAGTCAACTCAAAATGATTTTGAGTCCGCTTGAAAATTAAGAATTTTAATTTTTTTGTTGGCACAGTTCTAATTGGTAGAATTTGACTCTTATTAGGACACAATGAAGAAAAATTATTCATGTAGCCAACCCCACGTGATGGGGCTTGATGTTATCGTTGTTCAATTCTAACGGATATCATTTCAATCTTTGTCATGAATTAAGCAGGACACACCAACAAGTCTTCAAACTAGGTAGCTTGCAAGAACTCAACCCCTATCGGCCCCACCTCAACAATTAATCAATTCATTTCATTATAATCCATAACAACATATTTGCTAATTTCAAATTTTCTTATGATACAGTGCAAGGTTGGAGCAAAGTTTTAGTTGTCTTAATTGAAAGGTGCAGATAACAGATTCAAATCCATAGGCACGTTCTCAGCATTGTATTAGAATTGCGCAAATCAATCCCAAACCAAGAGCCCACATTAAAGGGAAACTCATGCACTGTGTACTTCATTTTTTTCACTTATTCAGAGTACATGAAAGCATTAAAAATATATAATTAAATTATTGCGACAATAATTAAAATGCTCATAATTTGAGAGGAGGATGAAAAATATTTCACATGAAGAAATTGGTAAAGTTCCCCAAATTATAAATCGTACCTTAAGGAGATCAAACACCTTTTCACAAATGTACTTCTGTTGAATGGTGGCCCTCCGCTGTTGCAGTTTATCTGGATGAACGCATAAAGTAGCCTTTCTATAAGCTTTCTTCACAGCAGCCGCAGTTAAAACATCTGTTAGAGGAATTGGCTGCCAACCACTGTCAGATCCAAGGATCTGCCAATAAATTAAATCAGCTAAATTAATCGCTAACAGTATTCAGACGCAGTCTGACAGGCATGAAGGCAAGTAGTCACTATTTTAACAGTACTGTTAGATTTTTAGAAGCCAATAAATAGCACATTTTCTTTAAGAAATATTACCGCACATAAAAGAGGTAATATACTGATGGACCGGACCGGCCGGTCCAGCCCACAGCAACACCGGCCCAAAAAGGGCCGGTTCTCACGTACTGGAGGCGGAGAACCCGCCTGCTTGGGCAGTCGGCCGAAAGGGATAGAGGAGGCGGGTGGGCCCATGGGGCCCACCAAATTGAAGAGGGGGGATGATGTGTTTGCCCTAGGGGTAATTAGGGGTTTATGGGGGTTTTTGGTGGGAGTTAAAAGGGAGTTAGGGTTTGTTTTGGAGGCATCTTATTTTGGTGGCTGTTTTTAGTTTCTTCTAATCTAGAGCTTGGGGGAAAGCTTCTCTTCTCGAATTGAGAGCATTGTATCCGTAGAAACTTGTAAGTCTTTTGATATTTAAGTAACCGAAGTGTTTGTGAGTGTTTTCATCCAAGAAATCCTCCATTTTTCCACTGTTATTGGGCTGTTTTTCCTGGATTCCGAATTTTGCAACTCAAGTTACATCATATACCAAATGATATGGCCACTGTTTATGATCTTAGACTATCAAAAAAAGCTGCAAGTTGTAAATGTCTTTCTGAAAGAGGCTTCTAAAGAAAGAAGTTAGCATACATATTGAAGTGTAGACAACAATGCACGCAAATTCCCATCTTTTCCATTTGACCACCTCCTCACCTCAGCATCTAGTGATTCTGCGAACCTCTGTAAAGATAGTTTCACTTGTATCAGGACATTTATAAGGAATTCTGGCATCAAATAAATTATAGAGTAGAATATTAATGTGTGAAAAGTTTACATCTCGTTCTGCCTGTTCTCTTTGAGCAAGACAATCACGCAGATTCTTTTCAGCAAGTGCCTTAGCCTAATAATTAGATACAAATAAAAATTAGCAAATACAAAATTAATGCAATAATAATTAAGCCTAAAACATAAATAAAGATAGTACAAAAAAAAAACTTACAGCACGCTCAGCTGTCCGTTGTTGTCTCTCTTGTCTTGCTTTGCACCTCAACTTCGATTCACTTCCACCTACTTCAAAACTTAACATTAGAATTTATATAGTTCACACAAAGAAACAGTCAAACATGAGAAATAGGAATAAGAGATCTCATTTTAAATACAAACATCAAAATAGAAACAACAGCCCCAAAGTTAACAGTGAAAATTAATAAATAGTTAGCTTTCAGAAATAAATAAATAATCCATACAAATCCACTATTACCATTGTCGCAAGAATCTGAATATCTCTGGCCATTGGTAGAACAAGAACTCTGAGAATGTGTATTCTGCAGAATTTCCTGCACGAGTTGATAATTAAGAACCCTCCATAAAATATCAAATTGTAGGCCTTAATTATTTTCTACTTACGCATGAGGATTTTCGTCTTGTCTCAGAATCTTCCTTAATATGATCAGCTTTAAAATATGCTGTTGCATTGCCTTTTCTCATCCTGCTTCTTGCCTCAGCGGCAGCTTTCTCAGCAAGTGCTTTCTCAATAGCACGCTTGCGGGCCTCTTCAGTTGCTCTTTCAACTGCAGCACGCTCAGCTCTCAATCTTGCTTCCCTAGATGCCTTCTCAGCTTCAGCCGCTTTTCCTGCCTTCTCTCGGGCATCAGCAAGTGCACGTTGTCGTGCTTCGGCAGTCACCCTCTCTACTGCAATTCTTTCAGCTCTTTCCCTGGATTCAGCAAGTGCTCTTTGATGGGCATCATGATTTGCTCTTTCCACACCAATCCTATCTTTTTCTCTTTCTTTCTCTCGCTCCTTCTCTTCCAATTTTATAGCTCGCTCTTTGTCACTTTCTTTTTCTATGTGTACATTTTTATTTTCCTCTTCATCTATATGAATTGAATGTTTATGATTCTCAGCCACCTCAGCAAGACCAACTTCTGTTATATCCGGAGCTTTAGATAGTGACTTAGCTTCCTTCCTTAACAGAATAGTCTCTGGGGCTGATTCCTCACACTGTTGGCAGAATTCCTTAGTTGAAGTTGAAATGAACTTATTTCCCCCCAAATTACAAGCCACAGGGACATCCAAGGTGTTCTCACTTCCTTTCTCAGTACAATCTTTTTCTGCTGCTGCCAAGAATTCAAAATTGTGCAGCTCCTGGTTCCTGTCTGATCCCATTGACTCATCTTCCTGGTGCTCGATTCGAGCATCTTTTATTTCCTTTCCATTTTCCAGCCCATTGGCATTATGAATTGCTTCCTGTTCAAGCTCTTTTTTTTTAAAAATGCATCCTTCTTCATTTGCTTGTAACCCATTAACCTCTTCATTTTCCGCGATGTTATTATTATCCTTATCCATGCAAATAGACGCATTAGAAGAAATTAGATATTTCATGCACTCATTTTCATTTAATTTTTTAGTTTCTTCCGTTGCATCAATTTTTTCAGTTGTATTATTTGAGCAAAACCCATCAGACACCATAATTTCATCATCAGATCTTCCCTGGAAAACAGCTTCATTTGCATCTTTGAAGACTTCATGGCTTTTATTTAGTTCAAAATTCACATGACTCACATGAATCTCCTCTTTATTTCCCACATCTCTAAAGATCTCTTCAGCAGCATTGAACTTTGTTTCCTCACAAAAACCATTATCCACCCCAAGCCCGAATCTAGAATTTGAAGCTTGGAATATCTCCTCACTATCTTTAGACAAACAAGAACCCACAGCAGAATTGGAAGGGTTGTCATTGTCCTTAGTGGCATTATCTTCATGAACATCACCTTCATTCTGAGTATCATCCAACAGATGACAGCCATAAGCATCATTAAGTTTACTTGCACTTCCTTTATGTAGAAAATCCTCCATAATTGCATGTACAACATTCTTGTTTGACTCCTTTATGTAATCCATATTAGCACCATATAAATTGTGATCATTTTCTAACTTTTCAACACTGCAACTAGCTTCTGATGATTTCTGGTTTTCTAATACTTCAAAAGACTGTTCACCATTTTTACTATCTTTGTATATATCCTGACATCCATACATGGCTGCTTTTACTTTCTTTTCATTTTCATGCATATAGTTATCTTTATCCTCGCTCAACAAACTACCATTCCTTATCAGTTCATAATAATTTTTTTCAGTTTTCCATTCACCAGATATTTCATCTGGAGTAACCTGTGGTTGGTTCTCACCAGAAGTTGAAAATCGCCCTTTCTTCTCATGGTTCAAAGTTGTCCCTGCATTCCTGATTTCTTCCCTTTCTAGGAAAGTACATTCATTAATCGAATTAATCCTCTTGAGCAAGTTGTTAGGATATTTCACTTTGCTATAGCTTTTAAGTTCTACTTCATGGTCAGATCCATCATCCTCACAGGTCATAGCTTTAGGCTCGCCAACCTTCCTCTTATACTTATCCCGTTTTCTATCCATCAACTCCTTCGCAATTTTTAACTGAGCCTGAGCTTGTTCCATTGCAACTTTTACAGCAGCTACAGAAGCAGCAGCAGCTGAACTAAGATCCATGTCATTATGATTGCAAAAAGAATTGCCTTCCATAGATTCATCAATTGCATGGATTTTAGTAGCACCACAGCTGGAATTCATATGATACTTTAGCTTGGGTTTAAGCAAGCTTCCTTCTTCTGTATTAGAACTGCAATCTGTATGTACCTTTTCCAGATGCTCTGGCTTCTTAATTAGCTGAGGAGGAGATCTTGAAGGTGGTGGCCCTTGCAAAGGTTTTGTTTGTAGACTAATTTCTGATATATTCAAGTATTCAACATCAGACAAGTAAACATCACCACTGGATACTGAATGGTAGCTGGAAGACCTGGAATGATGCTTCTCATTTTCGGGAGCATCTAGCAGGGAATCACAATTAGACTCTGATGGTGGAAGCTGATCTACTTTCAGATTTTCAGAGTTAGCTGCATTACAGGAAGAGTTGGATGGTGCTTCATTCTCTTGTCCTCTATCATGTATGTATCTCTTGTTATCTGTATTGTTGGTGGTTCCTTCGTTAACTTTTTGAGTTTTCTTCTCAAGAACAGGATCGCATGCATCAATCACAGCTGTAAATTCAGGAAGAGCATCAAATTTAGCTGGACTAGTTTTCTCACTAATTAAATCATCTGTGATTCCCCAGCTTGTTTTGTGGTAAGACATGCTGAATTGCTTCGAACTTACATCATCTGAATGGTTAGGAACTGAAGCAACCTCGCCAATCTCCAAATTTGATAAGTGATCCTTGGAATATCCTTCTAGCAAGTGTTCTGAAGCTTCATTAGCCTGTTCTCCGGACAACACACCCCATCGAACCCTATACATAATTAAAGCAATACATTTCAATCCGCCACAGAGTAGCAACTTTAGGATCACGACCAAAAGAAAACATGCTAGCATTATGGGAGACAATATATCATTTTATTGCAATAAACTATTGAAAGTTCTCCATTCCACTAATGTGTAATGACAATTTTCATTTCTTTGGATTTAATAGTCAGGAGACCAATAAATGTTATAGTCCAGAACAACAATCTCTACGAGATGCACAAACCACTCAAACCTTACCTAATTCACACAAACCACTCAAAACCCCAACTAATTCATGTTATTCCAATGTATTTTGGTCTTTCTTATCAATTAATTTTATAAAACTAGTTACTTGATAGTCGTTGATGTCATGGCAATAAAACAATTATTCAATTATTTGAGCCAATCTAAAAAATTTGTTAACAATGTGCATTCCATCAAATGAAGAAGTCAATTTTGGGCATTGCTTAGGGTTTATTTAATGATGTAAGAGGATGCATGATTGCAAAAGCACAATAATTATTATTTAGGGAAATGAATTTAAAATTATGAAAATGCCGAGATGAAAACATGAATGAAAAATATTTAAAGATTTGAATAAAATTGACTAAAATAATTTTCAAGTGAGGAGAGGGCCACAATAGAACACTTAAATCCTAAACTCTCCTTAGAAAGTTTAGACCATTTTGACAAAGCCCTCTTAATCTTACAAGTACATAAACCACTTACGGATTTTTTTCATGCAAAAATGAGTATGCAAAAGAAGATAAAAGGATGTTTAACTAATAATGAAATGCAGCTTTATGAAAAATTTTAGAGTCTTTAAGCATTTGTCAAAAACTTATTTTCAAGTAAAGATAGCATGCATAAAACTACTTCATTAAGAGTAAATATCAACTAATAATTTTCATGTTTAAAAATGCACTCAATATATTGCAAGGAATATTTCTTTGTGGATTACGCCCTTAGATTGCATGGAATTTTCATATATCAAAGGAGTGGGTAGGCTTTAAGATAGGATTAGCTTTGCTTCTATTTGATGTTCACTACTTGGAGAACTAGCAAATTAATCATAGAATTGCCAACATAACATGACAATATCCTAGATTTCTTTAGAACTGATTCCTGATAAAATAAAGCAATTTATCAATAAAAGAAAAGCTAAAGTTTTCACTTGCTTTGAATATTCATTATTGATAAAGTAGAAGATCTCATGAAACAAAAGTGCTCTTGTGAAAGAAAATCTAAACGAAGAAATTCCCAGAAAGTGTTGCCACTTGTCATATTGGTGGTGAAGCCTCTTTGAATTATTGATTATCCCTTTCTCTTAGGCAGGGCTATGTGGTTTTGAATCATTTTATCTCTAATACCGAATGATGGGGATGTGATTAATAAGGTTCAATAATTGTTGGAGTAGAGGTGGAAGGTTTCAGAATGAGGGAACGCTAAGGACAATAATGACTAGTTTTAAGATTTTAGAACATATTTCTTGTTGAAGGTTTATGGCAATCGATGGTTGGGTTATCTTTTTAATGGAAAATGATGAGTACCGCCATATTAGATGTTTGGGATGCTAGTAAACTAATGTAGGTGATTTTACATAAATCGGATATGTGCATAGAAAATTATGAACTTTTCATTTGGTTTGGTCATAATATGTGGTTAACAACGATTAGGATTTTCTGGAAGGGGTATGGGTTGGTTTAGATTAGGCTTTGAGTGGTTTTAGATGGTCATAATGTAAGCGAATAAGTTAAAAGAAGAAGAGAAATATTAGGGTTAGCAAACTTTAAATATGATTTATTTTGCAAATCATTCCAAAAGCTAATAGCACTAACTCTTTATAAACACAAAATTTTGCAAAAAATCAAAACCATTTTCATTGAAATAGAAAAAGTATTAATAATACATAAAATGCTAAACAATATAACAAAATCTCTTTCATAAAATGCCTTCCAAAGGCCATAATGAGTGGCTTCCTCTAGAAACCCTATTTAAAAACTATAATAAATCAATCCAATAATAAGAAATTTTCTAAAGCTTTAATTGTAACTATGGGGCCCCGATTTGGGGTGATTTAATAGCTTTCAAAAGAAAGTTTTACATTTGAAAAACTCCCACCAAAAATATGTATAGCCTATCTGCCCTTATAAATGAAAAACATATAAAAATTAATATGAAAAAATATAAAAATTACAAACAACAATATATTGGGATTTGTTGATCAATCAGGTTTTTCTGTTGCCTCGGACCTCGAGTTTGTCGTGCTTGTTGGGAGGATGCGGGGGGATTCACCCTAAGAAAAAAAAATCGTACAACGCCCTGATGCTGTGTACCTTAGCACCTCGGAGCTGCATACCCGAGCACCCTAGCTCTATGTTCCCGAGCGCCCTAGAGTTTGACATCAGAGAGCGGAGCACTGCAGCGGTCTAGATACGACGCCACAGAGAATCAAGACAGAAGTTCAAGCGCTGCGAGACAGACTTGACGGTTTTCTTTTTTGATTTTTTGAAGGGTTGCATCACTTGGGGTTATTTACTTGTCTTTCTCTTGTATTTTTGAGGTGTAGGCATTGGGAACGGTGTGTGTGAGAAGAGAAGAAAGGAGAGAGCGAGAGAGAAAAAAGATTTATACTTATTTCTCTTAATTTTTACAGTGAAATTCTTGGTGTGGTGTGGCTTAGTGTTTTTTTCCCTAATTTGAGTTTTTTCATGTTAAATCCTGGTATCATTTTCTTTCTGCTGCTTTTACTTTCTTGTTTGTTTATCAAAGGTCTTTTACTCATATCCCCAACAACAACAAGTCAGCCATTACTGAACTCTGGAGATCTTAAATCCTATTTTTACATCTTTTCGGAAGATCAATGTTCCTTTGACCGCTCAATCAGTATGTCACTATATAATTAATGGGATATGTTGGAAAGACTTTCTCTGCTAGTGCTTTAGAAAAGAAGTTAATGAGCCTGAGGAAATCTTAGATTCACTTTTCGAATGCTCAGGTGCCGGTTGTTTTCTTCATTAAATCACTATTTAGACTCCCAGCAACAACCTTGACCCTGGTCTATTTGGAAGGCGTTTAAAGGGAACAGGCTTGTTCAACAGTCATGGAGCATCAGTGTTGATTCTCTTTTCAGAATTGATTCATTTTTTATGCTAAGGTACTTCGCTGCTTTCTTCGCAAATTCACTATTTCTTTCACTTCCAGCAACATATTGAGTCCAACCAAAGTAATAAAACTTCTTAGACAGTTACGGTGCATCAAGTTCGATGGTCTGCTAAGATTTATATGGATTTAGACGAACTTGAGAACTCCTTCAAGCAAAGATATCGCTTTGAGCTTCTTCTCTTCACAGATGGAGACAAATCATAAAATCTAATTTTCTAAAGATGGTCTGCTAAGATTTATATAGATTTAGACGAACTTGAGAACTCCTTCAAGCAAAGATATCGCTTTGAGCTTCTTCTCCTCACAGATGGAGACAAATCATAAATTCCAATTTTCTAAAGCTCTTACAAAAATTGGTACGGCACGCCAATCCTATTTAACCAAGAATAAAAGAAGTATTTTTTAATGCCTAAACAACGCTCTTTCGGTAGCTCTTTGCTGCTAACTGAAGCAATTGTTATTATATGAAACAGAACTCCAACATCTACTCATACAAAACATCAGACGACCAACCAAGAAATGCTCCTACGTTAAAAGAACATACGTTATAACGAAACCATGCGAACAGCGTAAAAACGAACAAAATCTCCCATACATTCTATGCTAAAGACAGCGATCGAGAAAATACATTCACAAATATATTCCATCTTTTTAAAAAGCATGTCAAAATTTACAAAAAAAAAAGGAAAAAAACTAAATATCATTTTCTTTGATCATGTTTTGTATCCTGAACAACAAGCTGGTTTAAATCAGCGTTCACTTAACAAGATGATAAAAAACAGAGAGCAATAAAAAGATCAAACAGTCTTGCAAAAAAATTAAATTTAAAAAAAAAAAAACCAGACGTTCTATAAAATAGAAAGTTGACCATAGCAACAAGAAGGAACCCCATCGAGCAGAGAAGAGACCAGTGAGGAAAGAAGAGCTAAAACTCACCTCCCGTCCAAAGAAGAGACCCCGGATCCGTTTGAGCCGCCAAACAGCTCCTCGTACGAAACCGTGAAGCAGTCTCCGCTAAGTCCCCCAAAAATCTCGGAATAGTCGACTCTAACTCTTCGGTCGCCGTCGCCGGAAGCAGCGAAGTCGTCGTCTGCTGGGGGAAGGTCAAGCATTGGGATTGAGGAAACGGAAGCGGCGCTGCCGAAGATCTCACAATAATCCTCAAACCGCGCCGGAAAGGGCGTCGTGTGCCTCGGCTGTCCCCCGAAGAAATCATCGTAGGTAGACCTTGCAAACACTGCGGACCCATGCGGCTTCTTCCCCCAATGCCGCGTGCTACTCAGTTCTTCCATGTCGAGAGCCAGAGAGAGCGGTTGAGCGAGGAAGAAGATAGGCCTAGGGCTTTTCTGCCTCTTTCTCCTCTATTTCTCCCTGCCTTTCTCTCACTCTGTCCTCTCTGATAACTTAGCGCTCGTCAGCTCCGGAGTTGCAGAATTCTTACCAGCAGCGAGCGACTCTCTTTTAACTTTTAGCCACTTTTTTCTTCGAAAATATCAAATATATATCCTCCAAATTTTTGAGGAGGATCAGGCCTACCCATTGCTCAACTTATATTCAAATTTTGATCTTTAATTATATAATGTATTAACATCGAAATATTTTATTTAAAAATTAATATTAATAATTTTTATATAATTTAAATTTAAATATTATATAAATAAATATTAAAATTTAAGTATTATATACATAAAAAGTTATGTAGTTTTATGTGACATCTAATTGTATTGATTAATCGGATTGGACAATTATCTCATACATAAATATTATTTGGTTGAGCTCGTCCGAATATTGTAGGAGGGTGGTTGATCACTTGCTTAGGGTTCGAGAGCCTTGTTCTTGAAAAAAAAAAATTTATACAAGCTCTGCCTTGCTATATAATTTTGCGATGCAGCATCATTTAAAGCAATGCGGCAACATTGTAGCCTTGACTTGTAGACAGAGAATGGTCTCCAAACCCCAACATCATGGCATTACGAGTTTGGCTTTACTTTTTTTTT